GATTACTTTATCCTTAAAACAGAGTGGTCCACACCATTTAGAAGAGCTTAACTTACTAAACTTATCTTTAACTAAGACAAAATACTTATACTGATAGTAATTGATTCACCACTCGACTGACTAGCACCTGAGGAGAAAATAAGTCCATGTGAGCTGAGACCTCATCTTCCTCCCTGATGACTCCCCCCACATCAAATCTTATATACCTGAAAGTGCAGCTAATAGCCTTGGAGGATAAGAGGAAGTGAAAATATACTGCTCAGGGAGAGAGTTGCTGGGGCTGATGATGGCAGGCCTGCAGATCTGTGTCCTGGCAGTACACAGTTACATACCACACTTGTTCAAATGATATCCAAGTTGTTTCTCCTGCTCTCTGTGGAACAGGCCAAAGAGACTGGAGACCTGAGAGTTGGATAATGACTAATCCATCTTTCTTTGGCCACAACAACTAGGTAATAACCTTATTTTTCTTTAAATGACTGCTGTAAAGAGAACTTATTTTGGTTGAAACATGATTTGACTAGAGAGACTTGTAATGGATTATCTATATTTTCATTATCAACCCATTTCAGAAACAATCTCTCATCATTTTTGAAGAAGCATGAATAAAATAAAATTTGGCAATCCTGTTGAGGCACTATCTCAACTTTCACCAATGAAGCATAGGTGGAGAACTGTATTCCACTTCTTTGTTACTATTATCTCATTATTATTATTATTATCATCATCATCATCATCATCATCATTATCATTATTATTATTTACTATTGATCAGTGCAACCCAAAGGATGATCCACAGCCAGCATCATCAGCATCACCGACAGCTTGTTATAAATGCAAATTTTCAGGCCACACCATATGTGCGGCACACATAATCCACATTTTATATATGAGGATACTGAGGCTCAAACCCAAACTTTGTTGGACTCCATATTCAAGGCTCTTTATGTTGTACTGCTCAAAATCAGAATTGCTGAGAGTCTGGCTCAGAAATCTGTGTTTCAGCAAGCTCTTTGCGTGATTCCTATGTACACTAAAATTTGAGGAGCACTGCTCTGTACAGTGAGGAGAGGCACCAAAAGAAGACAGGAACCCAAAGTAAGCAAGCTTTGTGATTCTTCCTATTGAAGCTACATTAAAAGAAAATTACTCAGAAACAAAATGAAGTCTCTCTTGGCCCCCAGAGAAGATGTAATCCTGTTGGAGCACATCTTAAAGAGATAAGGAGCAGTCACTCCCAGAGGTATTTCTCCTAAGTTGGTTGAGAGGCTCACATTCACTGTATCACGGGCTGCCTCATTCTAATACAGATGTATTACAACGTTCAAGACAAGTTTTGCATTGCTTACACTACTGCTGCCCTCCTTTGATGTGAATATTTAAAGATAAATATCACAATAATTGTTACATTTCTGGTCTAAGTTTCTATTACTGTGTACATTTATGATATGGCTATCTCACTGTATAAGTTTTCCTCAGCACCCTTAACCTGCAGGCTTCAATCACCATTTGCAGACAAAGAAACTTTGGTTCCAAGAAGAAAATTTTATGTATAAATTGCATGTAATACTTGTAAATGATAGGTTTCAACTTAGCAGTTAATGAATAAAGATTCATGGATCCTAGAAATGGTGCTGTAGAAATCTCAAGCTCTTCCCCTGGGAGCAGAGCAAAGAGGTCTCCAGGAAGCCAGAAAGTCAACTATCTAGCAGTAACATTTGCTTTCTGAATAATATTAACCAGAAGAATACTGGGGGCAAAAAGCAAAAGAAACTAAAAATAGTGTTTTCACATTGTAACAACATAACAAGATCAGGGGAGCTATTACCCTCCTACAATTTAACCCTCAGTGCCTGAGGGTATACATGAGATTGAGATAAATGAAATCATTATTTGGGGATTTTGATCAATTTAAAAATTGGGCCACTTAATTATCTCCCCTATAGCTATTTCCCAGATAGCAGTATTTGAAAATTTTTTTTTTATCCTCAGAATTCTCTTTTCTTATGAAAGCAAAGAAATATCTTATTTGTGGCCATCGTTGTTTGTAATACAGTACTTTATTTTATCTATTTACCAATAAAGGAATATCTTAATCTTGATGGGAAAATATTTTTATTTTTTATTTTTAGTAGACATCATAACAGCTTTTGATTAAATCTGGATGATTAATCATCATTTTCATTAATTATCCAGACAAAGAGTTACGTATATTTCCCCTTCCTGACAACAGAGGGTCTCTTGGCAAACTTGATTAATTTGTTTTGCATTTAAATTAAGTGATGCATAAAAATAAATGGTAGTTGTTTCTAGCAACCTGAAAAAAATTAAAAATGAATAGTACTAAAGATAATAGTATAGAAAATATATTGTTCTAAAAGAAACCTTTGTTAAGGTTTTGTTATTGAAAAAAAGAGAAAAATGCCTTAATAAATGTTATGGATGTTGTGGTAATTTAAAGTTTTTTTCAGTTTATATTGTCAGTGTGTAAATCTGAAGTAATGTAATGGCTGAAACCAGGAAAACTATGTTACTTTCTTTCTAATCACAAAAGTAATACATACTGACTACAGAGAGGAAATCAAGCAGAGTTGGAACTCCAGTATATAAACCAACTAGACTAAGCAAAACCAGGTTATTTATAAATCCTGCTCTGTTGGTAAAATAATTTAAGGATGATATTACTGCACATGAAAAGTAAACATCAAAGTAAATATCAAAGAAACCCACCTTTATTTTGATATAAAAAAATTCTATACTCAGTTAGGCAGTGACATTTTTGAAACTAATACTCACATACAATTTTTGATGTATAATGCAATTTGTGTTTATAAAAGTACCAGATTAGGATATATTCAAAAAATTGTGCTGTATATATCGTTGTCCCTTTGTAAGTGTTAATTTATAAATTATTTACCTGATTCAAAAGTTCATTTTAATCATGAAAATAATATTTATATAGTTCTAAGTAACTTGTGGTTTTCTCAAATCATATTATATGAAAAGAGTAAAATAAAAATATGACTAATACCAAAAAATATAGTGTAATATAAATATCAGTTTTATGTGATAATTTTTCAATCTGCCTTTAATCATGAAAGCTGGCAAACAAACCTAACAAATAAGGCATATTATCTTTTTTTTAAAATAGATTTGTAAAATGTTTTCCAAACAGCAGGTGGCAATCTTTGTAAATTTGCAGCAGCACTCTCTTACCTCTATATATGTAGATGAAAGACAGTTTTAAAAAATATGCTCAGACTGGGTTAGATAACTTCCAATTTTAAAAGGGTCTTATTTAATCATGCTTTATTATTCTAATAAAATTTCTCCCTGGGCAAAATCAATGTTTTTGCTTAATGATTTTTGTGCAGCACAGGAGGAATTTCACAGTGCTAATCTGTCTAGGTATCCTTCTTATCAAAATCCTGCTTCCTTGTTACTTATCATTCTGAATTCATACGGCTTAAGAATTAGCACAATTAATTTTAGATCTTTTTTAAGCTCTAAAAAACCCTGTTGTAACCTATTGTTACTCAAAGTCCATTTCCTGTTGGTATTCATACCATTGAACTGTGAGAAGTCTTTAGAATTCTAACTATGGAGAAATACAAAGTTTTGACTCTTGGATATCTTTTAGAATACCTTGGTTTTGGGCCGAGCCCCGTGGCGCACTCGGGAGAGTGTGGCGCTGGGAGCTCAGCAGCGCTCCCGCCGCAGGTTTGGATCCTATATAGGGATGACCAGTGCGCTCACTGGCTGAGTGCGGTGCGGCTGGTTTTTGATATAAAAAAATTCTATACTCAGTTAGGCAGTGACATTTTTGAAACTAATACTCACATACAATTTTTGATGTATAATGCAATTTGTGTTTATAAAAGTACCAGATTAAAAAAAAAAAAAAAAAAAAAAAAAAAAAAGAATACCTTGGTTTTTCTAAATGGAAGTAGTCAGGTTAGATGGAGACAGATATTCACAGCTTTGTGCACTGAAAATGAACCTCCAAGATCCTGCAACCACCTGCACTTACTGTACCACCAAGAGCCTGATAGTCTAGCTTCCCCACAAAGAGTTACTAATATCAACAGGATTCTAACGGGATTTTCAAATTCTCTAGGTTCAGCATTTTCCTCTGTACCCCACTGTGAAATTTAAAATTCTGTCTTATCACCTTTTTAGTATGTTTATAACAATTTTGCCTATGTTAGCATTCTAAAATCCTGATTTTCACTTACTTATTGAGTTCTCAGCGTGTCAATAACATTTTATGGAATGTGTACAAGATAAGGAAGAAGATGTTCTTAAAAATAATTTTAAAAAATATATGCTCTATAATTTGATCAGTTTCTGACCTTTAATTCTTTTCTATGCTTATTTGTAAAATCTTCTGTGTAGCAACACTTCCATTTTTTTCTTTAGTAATTAAGATCTATTCTTTCATTTTAACATGTGTTCCTCATAGGAATTTCCTTTTACAGTGGAAAATGAGTCAAGGGCAAGTAAATGGAGTTGTCCAAGGTCATCCATCAAGGTGAGATTAATTAGCAACAAAACTTAGAAGTGTCTGAGATTCAGCACTATCTTCGTATCTTCTCACTTAACTATCTAACACTTATGTCTTTATATTTCTAGTACATATATAATCTAAGGAAACTTGTTTTGTGTTCCCAGTAAATAAATATTTCATGAAATAGTGAAAAAATCAGTACCCTTCACTAATTTAAACCATTTCCAGTCTTGCTACTATTCAGTGTGACTACCTTTGTATTACCATATTTTTCAATGTCATTTGGAAACAAATAACTTAAAAACCTATAAAACTATTCTCTGACACATAAACAGAGGAGGCCCCATATATAACAGGAACAAGTAAATTGCTACTTATTATTAGCAATCCTTAAATTGAGGAAATATTGCCCTTAACTAAAGATGATATTTTTAAATCTCTTTTTGGGGGGGCGGGGTTACAAATGTTTCCACTATGATAATTTCATTCTCACCAGGGCATCGCTGCTCACTGCATCTTCTCACTTCTTCCCCTGTTCCTTCACACTGCTGCCCAGTTATTGCTGCACCCTGACACGTCCTTATTCGCCTTTCCCAGCCACCGTCGCAGGACTTGGAACATCCACTCCAATGGCCCCACTGATTCCACTGACCATTGGCTGAAAGAAATGTGTCATCATCAATAGCGGTAGTCTATCACACACTGCTTTAGGAATTTTAAAACCTGAGAAGATTACTGACCCTTTAACTTTTATTGATCTACCACCATCAGTAAGCTTTATTCAGACATTTGATTTATTGGTCAAATAAAGAGCATTGTGTTTGACAGAGGTTCATATAGGCATGTCTGACTTCAAATGGACGTTGAAACTTACTTGTAAAAAGTGTAAATTTCAGTGCAGTTAATCAACTTTGTCAGTATCTAATCTCAGAATCTCCTGCATTATTTTTTACTTCATTAACATTGCTGCTGTGGATTATTCCCCCAAAACTTGTGGAAACTTGATCCCCATTGTAACAATGTTGAGAAGGTGGGAAACCAGACTATGGCAGTGTTGAAAGGCAGAGCCTTTAAGAGGTGATTGTAGTGTGACAACTACCCATTGTGAATGGATTAATCCACTCGTGGAGTAATGGGTTAATGATTTAGTAGGTAGTCATGGGTGTGGCACTTGTGGCTTTATAGGGAGAGCAAGTGAGCACTTGAGAGAGCCCTTGCCATTCTAGCCATGTGATTGCCTTAGTTGCCATGGGATTCTGTAGAGAGTTCCCACCCAGATAAAGGCCCTCACCAGATGTGGCCCCTGGACTATTGCCTTCCCAACCTCCCAAACTGTAAGAAATAAATTTTGTTTTCTTATAAATTACCCAGTTTCAGGTATTCTGTTATAAGCAACAGAAAATGGACTAATACAATGAATAAACTATGGTATAATAGAACAAGCATACAATTGAATAAGTTCCGATATAATTGGCTTCATTTACTAAAAAATATATAATTATCATCTTATTATTTCATGACTATCTGGCATGGCTCTGTCACTTTAGATAAATGGCAGGTGCCCTTTATATGCAGGAATCAGGCCTTACCTGTGCACTCGGGGTTATAGCACTCTCTGCTTTCTGCCCAAGGCCCTCTGCATTCGGAGCCCCCATGAGCAGCTGCAGTGCACTGCCGACTTCTCTGCTGGGTCCCATTTGAGCATGTCACAGAGCACTGGCTCCACGGACTCCATTCCTGCCACTGCCCATCAACTACCAAAGCAGAAAGAGAGACCACATAAGGGGATCTTCTAATAGGGAAGGCTGTACAGAAAGAACATTGGTAAAACTAACCTTGCAGATGAATCTCAATCAATGGACTCTGAATGAATCCAGTGGAAGATCACACTGGCATGAGATTTTATTATTACTCACCCGTCCCAAACTACTACTACCTTATTTTCTCACTTCTATTTTCTTTTATATATCCAGTATCTCTTTAGATCCACTTATCCCTTCAAAAATATTGATTGACTGCTCAAAATGAAAGGCCTTATGCTAGGAGATGGGTACATAGAAAAATGAACAAAATTAATACTGACCGGTACCTCATAGAGCTCATATTTTAGAGAAGAAACCTCTAGAAATAAATAATTAATTACAAGCTTTGTAAACGAATTATATAGAATATTTCAAAGGATAATTTCAGGACACAGTGAGATAAGAGTTCAGAGAGTCCAGGGAGTCTTCCTTTACAAACTGAGGTTTCAGGCAAGCCTAGAAGGATAAGCGAGAAAATACCTAGGATAAAGGTATGTTCCATGCAGAAGGATATACAAAGGTCCTTGGCAGAAGACACATGGGCACTTCCAGGAAATGGATGAAGACCATTGTTAACAGAATGTAGAGAGCCAGGTGGAAAGACGGAGCAGAGGACATTCATAAAAAGGCCGAGGCCAGATTTTGCAAGATTTTTGTCAGCTGTGTTAAGGATTTGGGGTATTAGTCTCAGATCATTAAGAAGCTGTTGACTAATGATCAGATATAGTGCAAAGTGTCGAAAGAATTACAGGATAAGCTGAGGAAGGTCTGAGCTAGGATGATGAAGCAGTTCTGACAGAGTGTCCTGGAAAGATTCAGATTGAGAATAATTTATCTATTCATTCATTCAAATGATTTTTTGAGATTCTATTAATATTTAGGCACTGTGATAGGTGTTAATGAGAGATAGAGAAATAATAAAACATAAATCCAACCTAGAAAATCTTATAATTTAGGGCATTATGCATGCAAATAAATAAATAAAAAGTTAAAGGCAATACCATTTTAACATGGCACGTGAATGGTTTAGGCTTTCAGAGGACAGATTACAGCTACTAGGGGGGTAATTATATTAGACTTAGAATGGTGAAATTTAAAAACAGCTAGATGGCTGGCAAGTTAGTTCAGTTGGTTAGAACGCGGTGTTGATAATGCCCAGGTCAAAGATTCGAAACCTCATTCCTGCCGACTGACCCCAAAACAACAACAACAACGAAAACCCCAAAAATAAAACAGCCAGTCAGAAAGTACACATCAATGAAAGGGCATCATTTGTTTCAATAGAATGCTAAAATCTGAATAATTTACATAAATGAAACAGCATTGGCAAAAGCATAAGCCTATATGCCACAAAATAGAAGTCAGCAAAGGATTCAACCAAAAATATTTACTGGATTAGAATGCATAAACTAGCATACAAATGTTATAAACACAGTAGTATATGACTGTCTACTTTTTCCAATATCATTTCATGGTCCTTAGTCAATTTGATCACCGGTAAAAGAGAATTCACTATAAATCCAAAGTTCCAATAAAAGCTAATGTTACTGTGAAAATACATCCAAATAAATGAGAAATCCTGGCAGAATATAAGTAAGTACTTTCAATTTAATTTCAAGCCTTACATGTAGCTATTAAAAAGGAGGTTGTTTAATAGGTTTCTAGCTGTACCTAATAAACCCCTTTGTGAGATTAAAAATCACAAAATGCCAATTTAATCATCTCATTCATGTCATTTTAGCATCTCACTTTATTAAAAGTATCTGATACAATCTATTGACTATGTAGTCCATCTGCCAGACAAAAAAAGAAAAATTTAGTGAATCAAAAGGACATTATAAATTATCTATTTCTCCTCTATTTTGGCTTTAAAGATGAGTGCATTTTTCATTTCAGAATTTTGCTTTTCAAAGATAACACTTACTGAGCTTGTATTATGAGCCCTCACTAACCTAAGCATTCTGAGAAGGGTTTTTTAAAAAAGATTCATGCCTTGCATCTTACAATCTATTTGGCAAAAGGATGAGAATATTTGGAAAGCAACTCATACACAAAGATTAATTAGGTGATGCCAACCTAACCTAAGTGCTGAGTGACTAGAAAAAAGGAATATGTGATGTCCGAAGTATTCTGGTTTGAGGTAAATGTTTAGTATGTTTTATTACAAATGTAATATGAGGGTACTTCAAAAAGTTCATGGAAAAATAGAATTAAAGATAATATAAATCTTTCCATGATCTTTTGAAGTACCCTTGTCATTACACACTCATTGGCAAAAAAGAGAGGATGAGTTTTTCCCGCTAAGAAGACATGAAATCAGGAATGAGCAGGTCTAATGTGGAAATCAGAAGATAATTTGGCAGGGGGTTGTTTTTCTATGAGGAATCAGGAAAGAATTTGCTGAAAAGAGATTAGGGAGGATGAGAATACCTATCTGTGCAGTGTTTTGCTCACCAGGCTTTTCCTGAAAGAAGATACTAAATCACTGCTAATAAAAAAAATTTAAAAGACATATTCTATGTTTTGGCTAAAATTCAAGAATAAGTTAATATTAGAAAGTTGAGGGACGCTATGAGGTTCAACACTACCATAAACATAAACAAAACATGTACTGTAAGTGTGAACAGTTTTGTTTACAAAGTCAGTTACAGAAGAGAAATAACAATGAAATTGAAGAAGTATCAAGTAGACATTTTTTTGCTGTTTTGTTTTACACTGAGAACTGGAAGATCCTTTCATTGAACATTAAGGGCACTGTTATTAAAGATTTGACTTGAAAAAGTAGTAACACATTGGATATAAAAAGCAAAAGAGGAAAAACCCAATATTCCTTTAGTGTGTCAAGTCCAAGTCACTGAGAAAATAAAACAATTGGGAAGTCAGAAAGGAGAGGGATATATGAATTTAAATTAAAGGTTTAGATGACAGACATACATGATATACAGATATACATAAAATAACTTCTTTTAATGCCAAATGTGAGACATTGTTTTATTTTTAGTTTCTTTTTTTTCCTGTTTGATATCCCAGAATTTATTTTTTAATTAGTAATTATTATATTCTTTTTAGGGACATCAGCCCCAAGATATTTCAGGAAATGATAATAGCATTTTATTGAATGGAAAAAAAAGGTAGGGTGGGAGGTTTTGGGGAGGTGGAAATTAAGAGTTCCGTTTTGGGGATGTAAGCATTTTCAAGTAGGATATGCATTTCACAGATAAATGATGAGATATTTAAAAATAAAAACCATCTATTATATTATATATCTATATTTCTTTTTTTATAACCACTTATCTAGGTATTCTAAGAAGTGAAGGGACAGCTTTTTTCTTTTTATCTGATATTTGACTGGTGAGCCCAAGTGGTAAGCAAGGAAGCGGCTTCTCCTTCAACCCTGCATGCAGGTTTGGCTCTTCACCTGGTTTAGTGACCAGGCAATAGAGACAAGCAATGCTTCTCCTTCCCCAATGCCCATCCCATATGTACAGCTGACTTGTGACATTTGTAAGAGGAGACTCCCAGGGTCATTGCAAACCTATGAATTTAAAAATACCCCTAAGCTTTCTTTCTAAAACTGTGTTCCTATTGAAAGCTGATTCACATCTTGGCATTCGGTCAAAAAAAAGTTCCCTGATAAGATGGGAAAATGTAAACCCTCCACAACACCTCTTGGAGTCTCATAAGGCACCCTTATGTAAGAATTCACAGAGAATTTAGGCTGTGACTGGCATTGCTCCACTGGGTCCTAGGGGGGACTATAGTGACAAAGATTGGCCAAGCTATGCTGTTATAAACATGTAGTCTGGGGGGCAGTGGAGAGGGGGGCTGTGGTAGAGATAGATGATTAACAAATAAACAAATGAATAAACAAGAGTTTCAGCTAGAGGTGTGATAAAGGCATTTTTGAGGGAGTGCTCAGCTCAGCCTCTTGGAGGAGATGCTGTTAGAGCTGAATCTGAATCACTACAAGGAGCCAGCAATGTGAAAATCTGTAGAAAGTCTATGCATGCAAAGTCTTGGGGTCAAGAGAGCTTTGTGTGTTTAGGGATAGAGAGAAGTCTGGGGCATGTGGGGATCGTGACAAAGGGGAAGTAGCAGCAGGTGTTTCCAGATGTTGTGCAGAGCCAGATCTTATAGGGTCCTGTGGGCCATGTGACCAGGGAAGGTGTGAAGCTATGAGAGAACTTTCAAGTAGGGAAATGACATGATATAATTATCATTTTAAAACTTAATTTTGCTGCTGTGTGGAATGGATTAAAGTGGGGCAAGAATGGGTGCTGGGAGATAAATTAGAGGACTGTACTATATACTCTATACTAGACAGAGCTGGTGGTGGCTTGGACTATGGTGGCATCAGTGGGCACAGAAATTGGATGAATTTGTGATATTTTCTTCATGTAGAGTTGACAGGTTGGTAGAGGGGTGTAGAAGAATAGAGAACCAAGGTTGACTTTTAGGTTTTTGGCTTAATCAAATAGGCAAAGGGCAGATCCTTTTGTTGAACTGGGTTACACTAGTGTTCAATCAGATCAGAGGGTATGCAGTCCTGAAATCAAGTTTTCTCTTTTTATGACGTTGAATATGGAATGCTATTTTACACATAATGCAAGCATTAAGCATTAAGTGCTGCATTAAAGAGTGCTGCACCGTTTAAATCTGTGCTCTCAAATTTATTTGAAAAGTATCCTTTCCCTACTTTTTTCCCCCATGGGACACCATTTGGTAAACACTGAACTAGAATACATAATTTTTTCTATTATATGCAGCCAGATCAGAATTAATACCTTCTTAGTCCTTTTCAATTTCTCATTTACATCATAAGCACTTGCAGTTTTCTTTTTTTAACATTATTTTTCAATTTAAAAACTCCAGGGCTGGCCCGGTGGCGCACTTGGTAGAGTGCGGCGCTTGGGAGAGTGGCAGCGCTCCTGCCGAGGGTTCGGATCCCATAT